TTATTGTCGCACACAGGCACACGCTGCGCAGCGGCGGATCGGGAATAATCAAAGTCGATTTTCTACGAAAACGAAAAATCGAGCCCCGCACTCCGGATTTCCCGGAAAAATCGGGAAACGTGGCCCCGACCGGCTTTTTTATATATGTTTGCCGAGCCGGGATATGCCTCGGAGCCCCATCTCGCCCACTTATTTTTTTTTTATTCCTTTTTACTCATGCACTCTCGCGACAAACTAAAAAGAAAAGGACTCACTCATTATCTCTTCTTTAAATTTATCACACTCGCGCCCTTTTTAATTACTTTGCTGTCCTTATTTTTTAATCTTTTCTTAAAGCTATGCTAATGCCTTTTCTTGAATATCCACGCTTTGACCGTCTCAGCTCTCTCTTTCTTCATCGTCTACTCTATTCTAGTTCCATGTTTATCTTCTCCTCGCAAACTTCCATAAGAAATCTAGGCGTCTTTTACTTTTGTATCTTCAGCAATACTATACTGTGTGTGGTGGTGATGTTTCGTAATCTTATATATGGTACTATAGTTTAATTATGCCTGCTTAATCTGTATGTATGCGTTACTCTGTACGTATGTACGTGTGTGTGTGTGTTAATTACGTCGCATCGGTGAACGGACCAATGCTCCAATCGTATCTGTAAATCGTCGGCACTTGGTGTCGGGGACGGCTCCTTCTTGTCCTTGTCTTGACTTCTCTATTCGTTGCTGTTTTTAAATCTTGCTAATCTTACTAGTATTGCTCAGTCTTCTTCGCTATTTTTCAACATCACACATACCTTCCCCACATAGTGTACAAAGATACTCTTTGGCTTACACGCACAGGGATAACCATCGCTTTTGGAGAATATCAAAGAAGCCCATGTTATGTAAAAGACGTGTTCACGAACGAGTGCAGTTTTATTTTTTTTTTTTTTCTTTACAAAAGCAACCCTTCATCAAGATTCAAATACTGTTTCTTTTTCGTTCGTGTACACGTGCATCGGCTTCTTCGATACTCCCGACTCATTCCTTACTTTCTAAATTAACTCACTCATCGTTCACTTGGCATTCGCATATTACCTTACAATCGGTACATTTCGCTCGTCCGTAATAAAATTATTTTCGAATCGCATTACAATTTTTTTTATTTCTTTTTTTCTTTTTTTTTATATAGTATTTACAATTCGATAAATTTTTTCATTTATTCTCGTGCCATTTTTTACCTTCTTTGTCACCGACACACAAACGACCTCGAATTATTGTTTTTTTTTTTTTTTTGTTTCAACTGGTTAATTCTTGAATTGTCGTCGAACGGAAATCACAGTGTTTGTCTTTTTGTTTTATTTAGGTAGCTTAAAAACTAAAACCTGCTTCTTCTAATGGTACGATGTTTTTCTTAATCTTGAAGACTCAAGGTTACGGAACGCCGTTTTTCTTTGTGTCTTGTACGTCGTGTTTTTTTTATTTTTATTTCTTTTTTATTTTTTACCATCGTCATCGTCGACGCGCCAAAGATAAGAGAGATAATGAAAATTCTTCCCACTTTGCATCTTAAAAGTTATCAAACTATATGTAAATAGTTTGTATATAATATATGTATATAATAACGCTTTTTCACACGAATAAAACACTCACGCTCGCTCGCATCCTTACTTTCACTGACAGTCGCGTTAAAATGTAAAAAGAAAAAAAAATCATAAAAATGCCTCAGTTGGTGGAGATGAAGTTTCATACAGATATTTATTCGAAAGAGATAGAACTGTTGTTTTTCTTTTTATACAACATTTTGGACTTTGAACCTACGTGAACGAATACGATTTCTCCTTTCCCCTGATCTACATCGAATTTTTTACAACACCGTTTTGGTGTGTTTGTTTTGTTTATAAATTTAAATTTCAATCCAAAATAATATAAAATTCTCAAAATCGTATTTGCACACGTGATTTTCATTACAAAGATTTGCGCACATTTGTTTTTCTTATTTTTTTTTTGTTGTTTTTTTGTTTTTAATACAGGTAATCATTGATAAATTTTACAAAAACAGACGACCAAACGAAACGGACTCAAGATTGAATTTAAAAAATAAAAACGAACATTTAGACACTTTTACTTCGTCAAAGTCGAGGAAGTACTCGCGCACTGAAATTTCGTTAATCCTTTCTCCACTTTCACATTGCTGCATTTCCAATTAGAATTCGTCTCGGAGTTTCTTGAAAATTTCCACTCACAAGCGGGGACCGTTTTCTTTCGCGAAAAAATGGTCCTCAATCGCGTGCGGTTCAATAATATTTTTATAAGATCCGTTTTTTATCTTTACTTTTTTTACATTCTTCAATATAATATATATATTTATATAATCTATTCCGTTCGCTTACTAAAATGTAGTCAGTACGTTTTCGCCCACTCGTAGTTTTTTTTTTTCTTTAGGGCAGAGCAAAAAAGTTGACGCGGCTCTTGCATACAGCCACGAAACATCATCTTCTCACTTTGCAACTTTGTATCGCATCTCAGCGTTAACCAGCATTATTAACTTATTTATTTTTACACAACGAAATCAATCTCGCGTCCCAGTCATCATTTTTTTTTCAACTTTTTATTTACACATCTATTGCTTCATTTGTATAAACGTACAATTTTTTTTTCGTCGCTCCAAAAAATCAAGTCTCCATAGTTAATTTCATATGTGCATTTAAGTGACGCCGGGACGATTGATTTTTTTGTTTGTTTCTCACTGTGTTTGATCATTATCGCGCATGTGGATTCGCGAATGCGCACAGAATCGGCATCTAAAAATTCATCATTGTTGCTATTGTAATAATCATGAGTTTCATCGCAAACTTTTTTTATCTTGCAGGCAATCATTTTCTTTTTTTTTTTAATGATTGTTGTTGTAAAAAAAAAAAACTTTGGTGCAAAAAAAGTAGTTTCTGTGCGTCTGCGCGCCTTCGCGAAAAGTAAAATTGATTTTTTTTTTTTTTGTTTAACTCTAAGGCAAAGGAGGAAGAAACAATGAAAAGTCACGATTTTTCGTTCATTCACGGATGGTCTTGATTCGTCAATTGATTTGTACAATTTGTTTGTTTGTTTTTTTTTTTTAATTTTACTTAGATACATATATTACAGCCCGTCGGGGCGACACTCGTTTCCCTTGTTTCTCAATAAACCGATACTGGATTCACCTAGTCCTTCGTTCATCCATACAAAAGTAGCGATTGTAAATTTTGCAAAAGTTTACTCGAACCTTCGCAATTCGGTATATTTTATGTACAAATATTGGACAGAAAAGCTTGTGTGTCGCCCTGGCGCGCCTTTACAAAAATTTCGTTTCGTCAACGACTTTCTCCCTCCTTGTATTTGGAAACAGTTTTTTTTTCCTTTTCAAACTCCGCATCCTTATACGACTATAGATTTACGAACTAGCGATTCTTTGTGTGTGTGTGTGTGTGTGTGTGTGTGTGTGTGTGTGTGTGTGTGTGTGTGTGTAGTATTTTTTCTGCAAAATTTCATGTGACTGAGAGTATATGTACGCATTTAGGCTTTTTTTCGCATCGAGGACTTTTTTCGGAGGACATCAGAGCGAAGATAAATTAATGATTATTTTATATTCCTTCTGATGACACCTACTATGTAAAACTGCCAAAAGACATTTTGCTGTTTCTTCATGAGTTTAGCATATGATGGCTCTTAGTGATTGGCATAATATACGGACAATGGATGGGCTTCAATTCGCGCCGCTCTGCGTGCCATTAAAAGATCTTCACTTTCTCCTGACGTGAAAAAGATAGTAGATAAAAGTCGTAAATGTACAAGTCGCGTTGGAATATATACTGTAAATTATCGTTGGAACCGTTCATAATTTTTTTTCTTACACCTGCCGATGAGAAAGAACCTTAGGTTCCTAGCGAGAAGATAAAAGTAAACAATTTTTTTTTAATTTTCATTTTTTCTTTTATATATATACATATATATTTTAACAGACTGTATAGTCACTAGAAATTTCAATTATATCGCTATAATTTGGAAGAACGCGTTGGTGATCGATGAACAAAAAGATACGTGTATGATTTAAAAAAAAAAAAAAAATCTTTTTTCGAATCAAGGAAAAAACAACGCGAAAGAGATCTTTTATTTTGTTTCGGAGGCTGTGGTGCCTCTGGAGTATTCACGAACGAAGTAACAACGCATACGCGTGCCATTGGAGTTTTTTTTTCTTCTTCTTGTTCTTATGGTCTCTTATTTTGTCTTAAAGCATTTTATAGTCCGAACGAGCCGTAATGCGACGAAGAGCTTAATCCGTTTTTTTCGTATTTTGTACGTTAGAGTATCACATAAAATATTGACCGAGTGGGAGCCGTTCCAAAATATCTTTTAAAAATTTTCCTTAAAAATGCTACGGTCTACCGCCGATTTTTCAATTAAAATAAAAAACGTGTTATCTCGTTGTATGGCTAAAAAACGAAAATAATTGGGAATTTTTTTTTCGTACGCGTTTCAGTAAAAAATACCTGTTTTTTATTATTATATTTTTGTATTCGGAACGGCCCAAGGTCAACCACTCGCTATCGCGTATTTGTCACTTAAATCTAAATATCTCGTTAGTTCAGTAATCCTAAAAAGTGGTTTTGTTTCTTTACTTCCTAAGTGGTATGATTTTATTCGTAAAGTGCGGACGATGACGCAACGACTGCGCCGAGAAAAGTAAAGAAATTCACGACTCAAGTTTGTGTACATTTAAGCGATTCTTGGACTTTTACTGTTAACGATTATTTGATTTACTATTAAATAAAAATTTAATATTATTTTTTTTTGTTAATAAAAAATCCTATGGCATTAAATTTTATTCGAAAATATTTAATTGTAAAAAAAAAAGTTTCGTTTTGATCAAATGAAATTGTGTGTGTGTGTAAAAAAAAACTTTTGCTGAAACCAGAAATCGTCGAAGTAGAGGTACTTTCCTATTGACTGGTTTAAAATTTACAGATACGATAGTTTGTATGTGTCGATCTCTTAAAATTAAATGATTTTTTTTTTTTGTGTTTCTTTAGTTCTTTGTGTATACGTATAGTGTACGAAATATTAATATATGCGTACGGACGAGTTCGTGCGTGTATATATTTATATACATATAATTACACATATTGTAGATTTGTTTTTGCTTACCGTGTACGCTTCTTTGTTTTTGTTTTGTCTTTAAAAATCAGTTGTAATAATAGTACCTATTATAGAGTGTCAGTAATCACAGCTAATTTCATCAACGCCTTCATACAACTCTTTGACTTTTAATTATCTTTTTCGCCATATTTTGTCTTTTTTCGTGTGTCATGACTATAGTTTAATGATTCGCGAGAGAAACAATAAACGATTCGAATGTTTCATCATTTGCACTTTTATTGCAGTTTGGCTCGTTATTGTCTAGAAAAAATAATATATATGCATATACCGAATTCCGGGCGTTTCACCTACGATTTTCCATATTTTTTGATAATATGGTTCGGGAAGTTATATCTTCTATTACCCGAATCACAAAGAAAAAAAGTTTTGATTTGTTTGCAATGAATTTAGAAAGAAAGAAAATTATAATTTGAATCGATAGCGAGTCATTATTTTTAAATGTTTTAAGCACTAAAAAAATTAAATGCATGTATGAGGTATTTACTGCGCAAAATCAATTATTTTTATGATAATTTTACTCTGTTCACTCAAACACGTACAACGAATAGTTAAACACATGCATTTATTTTTACTTTCTTTAATAAAAATGAAATCAAAATGAAGAAGATAGTTTTGTTGTTAAAGTTGACGATTCAATAAACATTTTGATTTATCAACTTGAAAAAAATTGTAGCAATTTTATTTTGTAGAATAACTAAATAAGAAAAAAATTGACTTCATTAATGCAAAGAACAGAACATGTGATCAAAGTAAAATCATCAAGAATGCAAAATAAATTAATCAGGTGAAAATTTGCACTTGTGCTACTTTATACTTTCATTGATAATCATTTTAACAATCAATAATGCTATGAAAAAAAAAAATCACCGACAATATTGACTATATAACACTTGCATGCGCTTCACATTTAATTTTTTTTTTTTTTTTTAAAGAATAAAAGGCTCCACGAATGCAATAACAAACTCAATCTTGTAAACATCAAAATTTGACAATAATCAACAAAATATAAATAATCAATGTTCTAAGCATTTTATGAATTTCATCGTTTCTGAGATTCAGTCGTTCAGATAAAAATTCATGCTCAATATTTTTACAAGTCATTACAATTTAGAGGATTGAGTTTGCGTTCAAGTTGATAAAACTATTACAAAGAGAAAAAAAGTTAAGGAATACCAAACCCGTTTGAAGAAAAAACGCCTTGAATTATATAACTCCTCGCTCTAATAATACATCTTATATACAAATATTAATCAATTACCCATAGCTTTGCACATGCAAAGTTTAACGAAAAAAACGTAAAAATACTTTGTTCTTTCCTTAATTTAAAAGTGAGAAGAAAAGAAAAGTAACCAAAAGATACAGCAACGAAAAGGACAACGTGTTACTTATATTTATGGCCTATGGCGAAGCGACACGATCGCCTTAAACTACAACCTTATCGTAAAGCTTCAATCGAAATTTGTTCATGGTAAATTTTGGATACTTGGTGAAAAAAAAAAAAAATAAAAAAAAACCTCTGATTCCAGTCTTTTCACCTATGGTTAGATCTACAAATAAATCACGCGTTTACAAACTACATTATAATTATTAATAACCGATCACAAAGACTGATTTGTCGGATATCTGCCTAATGTCTTTTCTCTCCTGATACCTTAGGGATTTTGTTTTTCAACAGATGATTGTTTTCATACTAGGTACAGATTCAAAGGCATCGGCATCCATTGATGTAGTTTTTCAATTTAATGCAAACGCAACAATCTCGTTTAACGAGATTTTTAAATCTATCCAACGGCCACTGGTACAATTATTCCACGAGTCAAATTCCAAGTGGAATCTCAAAACTTTTAAAATGGGGGGGAAGGTAAATTTTATTGTATACATAAAAAAAAAAAATAAAATAAAATAAAATAAAATAAAATAAAGAGAAAGCGAAAATGCCCAGTCAAATCATATAAGGGGGTATCGAGACTTTAGGCAAAATCAACGCATAGAGGGAAAAATTGAAGCACATTGGAGCCGAGGATAACTATCTTTTTGCAGTTTCACTTGTCAAATTTAGAGCCACGTTCGTTATCAATAAACGTGTTCTGTCGCGTGTCTGTGTGTGCGTGTGAAATGTTAGTGTTTATGAGCGTAATGATCCGTTTAATAATACACGATAATCTAAAATACACGTTTACATCTTCATACACGGCTCGCAATTAAAGCATCGCTTTTATCGAAACGAACAGGGAATATAATCCATACACTCTTGGTAAGCGTATCCCGTAATAATATAATCTTCGAAATTTCTCACAGGTCTTTTACCTAAAGCTCATCTCCAACGCGAATCAGCAGTCGCCTTGATTAGATTCGTTACAATAAATGGCTCCCCAAAACTTAAAATCACAGACTTTTAGGAGAGCCTCACAGCTAAACACTACAAAAGTGCGTCCATTCGTTTACACTTACACTACCATTGCCAAGGAGCTGAGACACCCATCCTCACTTGAAACAACATCAGGTGATAGAGCCAGAGGGAGAGAGAGAGAGGCTCAGCCTTTTAAAAAAACAGGCTACCTCTTCACAATCCCAACGTAGTACCCTTGATAAGTGGTGGCACAAGTGATCACTCTCGACAAGGATGATGATGCAGGGTACGAGTTCGCGCACTCGCTGGCAAAGACAACTGCTGATCTCTGTTCTCCTTCGCGCCCAAATCAAGCTTGGGCGTGGACGAGCATTTTCAGATGCTGGGCTAGAATGTTGGGGTGGCAGCCGCCCATACCCATACCCATAGAACCTGTCCAGTGGCTCGGTGGTTTCGGGACACTGGCCGGTGACGGTGGCTCGCTAAACTTGGCCCCTGCATAGAAACTGTTGGTTGGGCTGCCCCTGGAAAAACAAACGACAAAACAATCACGCACAACTCGACAAACGACTCCAGAAAATCAGGAACAAAATCAGTTTCTATGCACTCACCTCGGGGTTTCATTGCGCATCGGTGAGCTACGAGGAATGCCTCGGGGAGGAGTGCTGCTGGCGTTGTTGGGCGAAGTGCAGCCTAGCCTGGCGGCACCGGAGGACCTACTGCCGTTACGTCGTCCTCCACCTCCTCCTCCGTTGTTATTACTCGTAGCTGCGCTGATGGGGGTAGCAACAGCCGTGATAGCCGGGCTGTTGGAGTTGCTGCTGGCAAAGTACGTTGCCGTCTTGATGCAGTTGAGGCTACGTCCACCGGATTTTTTGCCGCCCTGGTGATGATGGTAGTGATTGGGCGAGCCCTGGCGCTCGATCCTATTGTTGCTTTTGGGCGTTGAGTTGGTCATCTTGCCGTGTTGTCCGTGTGAAGCTCTTCTTCTAGCGAAACGTCGCCCGATGATGATCAGGCAGTCGATTTTTGTACAGTGTCGCCTGCAACAAGACCCAAACGGGAGAAACGCCAAGATGAATATGACAAAAGTCTCTAAAATTATTATTGCCTGGGAGTGGAAGTAAGGTCGTTGTACCGGGAGTTCTTATAGAACAAGTAAAAGGAACCGGATTGTTTTGTTTCTGAGACCAGTTTGCTTAATACGCTTTCGGTCAACTGAAAATTAAAAAGAAAACAAAAACTCGACTGCACACAGGCGTGGAGCTGTGTATATGTTCCCCGAAGGTGTAGGCCAAGACTGAGGTGCGTGCTCTCTGACCTACAGGTCGAATTTCTGTTGATGCGAGTTCTGCGAAAAAGTCGGGGAGTAATGGCCGCTCGAAATAATGAATGAAATGTTTTTTGTTTTTTGTTTTTTTTTCAGACCCAACGTGTTTGGTGACAAGTATACACTAATTATAAACTGTTTTGACCAGAGATAAGATAAGACGAAGTGGTTGTTTACTGACGTCTCCTCGGAATGTTTTTTTAATGATTTCTTACAACGAGTTTATTCACGGCTGTTTTTTGACGTACATCGGAAAAATGACGTATTCGTTGGAAAATAGCCTTTTCATTTTATTTGGTATTTCACGACTGAGGTAATTCAAAATCTCAAATGTGTCGTAAACCGAAAACGCGAGTGTTGCATGACAGACACGAATTACTTCGGTACATGAAAATAATTCTACGATAAATCCATTATAACTTTTTTTTTCCGGATTTTCCTTTGAAATATTACATATACACCTATACATTGTCCTCCCTTTCCTGGGAAAAAAAGAAGCCCACTGTTGGTACACCCATTAGATTTCCAACAGTCTCTTTCTCTACATTTATACCTACTTGTATACAGCTGCAGAGCTCGAAAACGGCTTTTGTGAAAGCTTACAACGCTTCTCGGCAGGCCAGTTCTGTGCAGGGGTCGATTGGAGCGGCGTACACAGACACACATTATATTCACAGGAAGCGAACGTATGGCCCCGGAGGCAATCGGGGCAAGTTAGAAAGTATGAGGCTTGTATATGTACGTCGGCTCCACGTATACGTATAGACATATGTATCTCCCCCCCCCCCCGTTGTCGTGGCTCCAGGTATGGGTAAAGCCAGCAGTATAAAATGCGGTGAGAAGGGAAAGAAAGGCAAAAGAGTCGCTTGTATATAAGTAAGATAGATGTTGGCAACGGATCGAGTTTATTTTTCTCGTTCAATCACCCTATGAGTAATTTATTTGCTTACACCTTTACCGCGACGCGTTTTTCGAAATTTCGGGAAATAACGACTTTACGTGTGGAAACAAGACCTGCATAATATGTACCCCTCAATAAATCTGTGCTACTTTGTGACTCGAGAAAACTTGAGCGATGTTTTCCGAGACTCCGAAATCCCAAACTGTATATAGCCAAGCAGTCGGTGCGATATTCGGGAAAACATCCGATGTATATATACACAGGTCGCATAACCAAGTAAGGTCCAAACAATTTGTACGAAAATAAAAACCGACAAGGGAACGCGTTCGGGATCCCACAGCTGTCCAATTAAAGGCAATCATCTCTCTCACGATCCCGTTTCAACATCTGCTCCGAAAATAAGAACTCCGGGTGTGTGCGTGTGTACGTGCGCGAGCACACGGCAAGCAAAGGTTACCGAATAAAACAAGCCAACTGATTATATTCACACAGTATAATAAGAGAAAAAAAAAAAAAAGGTATAAATTACATGCGTATACAACATCTGCGTAAGTACATATATATGCAAAAGCTGTTTACGCGGACAGAGAGACAAAGATCAATATGGATGGATGTATGTATAGGTATATATGTTGTATGGGCTCTCGACAACTGCGCAATAAAACTCCGGCCGCTGTGGCTGACGGGGGGGCGTCCTAAAAATATGTACTTGTCTAGCGGTATACTTAGAGTGTTGTTAATTAATATGTATTTTTTTCTCGGGGATCGCAAAACAACACGCGGTCAGACGGTTCTTTTGTTGATACGAGTTTTATCGGAACGACCGATGCAGCTGTTGAGTTTGTAATTTTAAAAGAATACGATGTACCTACTGGGGATTATTCAGAATCAATGATTTGCAATGTTAATGCGAGTACGGCGAGAAACAAAAAATAGTGTTTATACCTCTCAGCGAATGTATGAGCAATACGTTGATATAAACACACCCAAGACCAAACAATCCTCGACAACTTATCGAGGAAAAAACAAGCTCGCAATCGCTGAGCCATCAAAGTCACGTAAACAATCAATCCTCACACTCGTAAATTTTGACCGATAAGCGATCACCTCGCCTACATTAATTTAAAAATTCAAAATAAAGAGAAGGAACAAAACATATTCGACGTATTATTATTTTGCGTACCTCAGAAAACAAAGCGAAGAGCTGAGATGCTTTTCCCTGCTGCTACCTCGTCTCTGCGCTCTCTGTCGAATATCGTTGATGGGAATAACAAGCCAGTTGTGGCGATGTTGATAACAGTGGCTTTCGTTCGACTGTCAGCCCTTCGCTCCTGATTCTCGGGTACCGCAACATCCGATGACCTTCGGCCACCTCCCTCGACACTCTATCCCTCGGAGCCCTTAGCTCGGGCGCTTATTGTTTATGTGTATAATATGTACTATCGAACGGAGCCGTCGTGGTTCTTCTCCCCGGCAATGTATTTAATATATAAATGCAAGACGAGAACTCGGGGCGACTATCACTGATTTTCCACGCTGGAAAAACTCGCTCGAGTCCTCGCGTCTCTGTATATATATATTTGTAACAACGTTTATATCCCAGACAACGCGCAAACAATATATATTTATCCTCCGATGCGCTTCGGGGTAAGTATGTGTGTTTGATAAACAACAGACATGGAGCTTCAAGATGGCGGAGCCGCTGCTACTGCTCTGCTGATGGCTTGACCCCCACTGCGGCTTCTACCTACTGCTGCACACACAACAAAGACAGACGGACGAGGATGTATTTATATATGGATGAGAAAAGAATAACATACGCGTTACGTGTGAGTTGGGTGCATAAGGGTGTGTGTGTGTGTATCTTATGCCAACGACGAAGGGAAAAGAGAAATCGAGACAAAGAGCATTTCCTTTCTATTCGTCGTCACCACGGTGGTACATATTGCAGGCACTAGTGGGTCGTTAAAACTTACCCTAAATCTGCAGGAGTGTCGCGTTTCTTCTGGATAAAGAAAAAATTCGCGAGCACCGAACAAATAATACTAAACAAAACAGAACGACTTTAATGTTCTTTTTCCAAACTCACAGCGCGGACGTCGGCCCGTATTTGCCAAGGAGCCTTGTAAGTACGTCAACCAAAAGCACAACACAAAAAACTCGTCTCTTTATTTCCCACAAGTGTATAATATACGCACTTGCTCCGGATTTCGATAATATCCTCAGTGCGCGCGATAATCAATTATCGTCTACTCCGAAACTTCTTTTCTTAATCAAATCGATGCTCCTTTGCAATTCGGCTGTTCGATCAACCAACACAATTCCAAACGCCGACGTCGCGCCTCTTCTCTGCTGTCTGCCGATGTCGTTCACTCGGATACTGTCTTAAGACTGTTCCAGACGGATTTAGTTGACTCGAGCCAACACAAAGCAGCTCCTCCCGGCCCGTGACTCCTCCTCCTCGCTGTAGATGTGAAATAACCGAGTTGGCCAATCACCGTCGAGGTTAGGGCCTACGTGACCCACTGCTGGCCAATCGCGTGCTCGTGCGCTGCAGAATTTTTTTGCAAGGTTTCCATAGATGCTTCTCTACTGAGATTTATTTTAATAAAAACCGTTTACAGTTCGGTGCTATTGAATTTTTTTCAGCCAAAGATGTATGAATTTTTTGCAAGGTAACTCCAGGAGTTGCGATAAAGACGATAAATGGTGAAGCGAACGAGGGGCGGAGACTAATCAGTTGCACACGGCCAATTGTCGATGACGTTGATTTGGCCATCTTTCCTGGTTTACCGAGTGGCGCGAAATTCGTAATGCGCTTCTGCAGCTACATTGTTGCTATGTTTTATTATTACATTCGAGTGGTCGATAAATCATTTCCAAGGATAAAAATTTTAACACGTGAATTAATTTTGATTCTCCGATTGACAAGATAGGGAAAAAAAATAGGGTTAATTACAAGATTAAAGTTATCAATTTGCCCTTGCCACTTATTTAAACTTATTCACTGCCGAATGTGTTTTGTTTTTATAGATAAGATCAATATTTTTGTTTTGTCATTAAATGGCGATTAACAATTGTCATTTTTTGTAGTATCGTGACTAATGACTACAATTTTAATCATTAGTTAGATAGCTGTTGAGTGGATTTATTCAAGGTAGTTAAAAATATTAAGTCATTCATAAAAATATCAATTTTTTTAAATAGCGTAATAACGATTACAATTAATGCGCATAGTAATAGTAGAAGTAATGTATAATAAACGAGTTTTACGAAATGAACACATTAATGCACAAGCAGAAAAATAGGTATGTCTGTGATGTTGTGTTGTAGTTATGATTACATTGTAAGAGAACAGGCTTGTTAAATAACACGTGTAACCAGCAGGTCGCCTGAAAAATTATTACGATAAACAAAAATTGATAATTATGTGGTATAGATTAAGTGTCATGTTATTTGTCTTCGATCCACTATCAATTTTTTTATATCATTCCAAAACTCTCATAACAGATTTTTGTTTAATTTTGATATAATAACTTACATGTTATATACAATTAGTTATTGCGAATGTACATACAATAGTTATTTACGTAACAAGTGCGGAAGAGACGATTTCCCGCACGAGTAGTGATTGACTCACACGAGTGCCGGAGTTGACGGGAACGAGTACCAGTTGAGCACACGAGTGCGTAGCACGAGTGTGATCGCAAGGTACGAGTTACCGTCACCGGCCACGAGTGCGAGTCTATCACACGAGTGCGGGAAATCGTCCCGCACGAGTTGCGTACAAGTTTTTTCGCAATGTGTGAGGAAAATAGGTACAAAATAGGTTTGAATTTTGATTTCCAGTGTGTAGCAAAATTTTTTCCGGTGTGTGGCAAAACCTTTTCCACACACCTTTTCCGCACACTGTGCGGCAAAAACCTTTGCCGCACACTTTTTCCACACACTGTGCGACAAAAACCTTTGCCACACATCTTTTCCGCACACTGTGCGGAAAAACCTTTGCCGCACACCTTTGTCGCACACTATGTGGGAAAATCGATTTTCCCACACTAATACCAGTGCGGAAAACACCCATTTTCCGCACACTATTGCGAAAATAAATTTTTTTATCTTTTTAAAAAATAAGTTTTCAAAATATTTTTACAAATTCGTACGACACATATTTTGGTCTAAAAAAATTAAGTAGTTAAGACTTTGTTCTACGTTTTTGAAAATCTCTTTAAAAATATAAAAACTTTATTGTACTTTTGTAGCTTACTTTTCCTTATAATCTATCATACGAAATGCACCATTATGCTTTATTTCTTTGTAGGAAAATCTCACTTTAATTGAGTATTTTTGCACCTATCACGTTTCCAGTTCAAGGAACAAATTAGGATAAAATCTCAGCGCTTCTATCGAGTCGTCTCTGCAGGCTTTACCATATTTTTCTGTCATTAATAGTCTCTCACAGGCTAATACCACTGAAATTCCTTCGGATTGAGCCAATTCCGTAGCCGTAACCGATCCTCTATCTTTGATCTGTACCATTAAATTAGAAAAATTTTCTTACTTTATTACTTTAAAAAAATATAGTCCATCCAAGCAATAAATTTAATCACCAGTTGAGAAACAGCTTCGGCAATTTCTTCGTCATTGTGAAATGAAGATTGTATAACTATCACTCCGCTCTCAAAAGTCCTCAGTTCTATTGGAAGATTCAGAGGAGCTAGCTGCCTACATGCGTTGAGCAAGTCTTCAGGCGACAAAAGCTCCAACCCCCTTGCTCTGTTTACTCTGCAGTACACATCAGTAAGTGCCATCATACCGCCTACTTCCTTATAAAAATAAATCACACGAAAAAATAATTAATTCTGACAACTCGCACTTGCATTAAAAATTGTGTCAACATTACATACTCTAATAGGCTCCTCTAGAATTTCCGCGAGCTGTCGAGCGAGTTGTCTAAAGTATTCATTGCTGCTCTTGTAAGTGTCACGCGTGACTGGGTCATCGATGCCCAAGCTCATAAGGTATGACTTAAACCTAACAGTCTCATCTTCCGTAATATCTCCTTGTCGCTCCTGGAATAATTTTTTTCAGTTATGAAATGGAGCACTGTAGCAGAAGCTTTACAAAAATTACCCTTATTTTTGCTGATATCGTCTTTGAAATCGCGACCATGTCCTTGGCCATGCCCATGAGTTTCCTCAAATCTTGAAAAGCTATGCTTATGCTCTCATCTGTGACCCTTTGCTGCTCCTGAATGCTTCTTTCGATGCCTATAATACCTGTTCTAGGCTTGATGGCTGGTAATGGCTGTTTTGAAGTGTTTCTGGCCTGCTAAAAAGTTTAAAATTAATTAGGTTTGAATTGAAGTAATTTGTCAATGAAAATTCTATCCAGTTCATTGTCAAGTTTCTTACTTGGCTTTGTGAACTAGTGATAGGTAGTACACTGAGAGGTGCCCTTTCCCAGACTCTTTTTGTGATGGCATTCGTTAAATCTGTTACAAAGGATGAATCGAATCCCTCTTTGAACGACAGCTTAATAAAATTGTGATTACTATTGTCCATTGGTCCCGTTAATTTTCCTAAAATTCATGTAAAGTAAGGAATAAAAAGAAAAAAAATGTTTCGTCATGGCTGTAAGAGAGTATACTTGCCACTCTGTGGCTCGGACATGTGTAGTATAACTTTTTTGCTGCGTGTGAAGAACAAGGGTCCAGGATTTTCTTCTTCAAAGAATATTATGATGTGCAGATGGATGGCAAAAGCCACATCACCCGGTGTCCTGTAAATGATTCTGTGACTGGTTAACGTCACCTTGCCACCTTCAAAGGGAGTCTAAAGTAAAAGAACAATATGTAGTTTTTAAACATTGTTCGCTCAAATTACAGATAAATTCATATTGATAAAGAATCGTACACATTTTTTTCTTATTCAGTTAAAAATAAATAAATACTCGAGTAAGACAAAAACACACGGTATAGGTTACATGGAAGATTTGTTTGTTAATTAACATACTCTGATCTCTCCATCGTAAAGTCTGATTCCTCGATCTTGTCTGATAAGAGCCTCGTTTGGTAATAATTGGTCATCAACGTATTCAAATCTATTCATGGTACAAAATATTATAGGCACAAATGAAATTGTTAGAAAAATCCAACAGGATTTACGTGCACTCGCACGATTAGCTTGCTGTCATAAGCAAAAAAAAAAAATATATAAGCAGACTACGCCTCTGTACAAGAAAGTGACCTTACCAATGGATGGTTCCATGTTGATAAGCTCGTTTTCTGCAAAAAAGGGGAAAAACAACCAACAACCAAATAATCTACTAAAGTTCCCCATGTTTGTAAATGAAATTAACAATTAGCGATACTTGCAGTGATTGCAAAAACAATTTCATCACATGATCACCTTGTGATGGGCAAGAAAAAAAAAAAAAAAAAAAAGAAAAGAGACACAAGAAAGTAAAAAGTTACCAATGCCAAAACCGATCAGTACATAAGCTCTTATGCCCATGAAAGAGAAAAATTTCCAAATAACTGTGGATAAAATACACCATACGTAAACTAATGCAATACACGAAAGAAAGAAAGTCGCCCCTTCGTAACGTTACACTCCGACAAAAGTAATACACCGTACGCGCGCAACAACATATACATGTATGCACACAACGTGCAATATACCGTTAATCACTAAAAGAAGTGTGTATACACGTTCTCTGTGGACATTATGTACGTGACTCGTTCTAAAACGCAATCCCGAAGAAAAAAAGAAAAAAATTCCTCAGCCATCACAGTTATAAATAAAACACCCGGTCGCGTCTTTCCAAACAAATTAAGCAACGCGCGAAATTTCATCGCGCTCTTCTCTCTTGTGTGTAACAATTTTTTTTTTTTTTCCTCTCCACTGCGAAGTGTAAAAGCCCCCAAAGGTCCTTCTCAGCCCTTATATTTCTCTCTCTCTCTCCTGCCGTGTATTATATACCAACAACTCGTTCGCTCACTCGTGACATGGAAAAAAAAAAAAAAAACCCGCGTCACGGGTTGACTGCACCCACGGGAATTCCGTCACGGATTTTCGTTTTTTTTTTTTTTTTTTTTTTTCCTTTGGTTTGTTTTTCATGTAAATAAACGTACAAGAGAGCAATAAAGACATATTATACATATACATTGTACATAGTACACGCACCCGCCTGCTCGACGTTGTAGTGCTGCGAAATTTCGTTTTAGAAATTACAATATGTGACTTATGCGGTTGAAAGTTGTGATAGTGGCTCGTGATTAGTTTATCGGTCCCTGATGGTATGCATATAATATTGTGTTTTGTAAACGCGTAGCTCGGCGTTATAATTGTCTTTCCGTTCGATCGGACGTTTCTCTCGAGAAAAAGAAGAAGAAGAAACAATATTATACATGGAAATGTGTATTGTGACCCGGCAAATTAAAGTGTTGTTGAAAATTGACAGAAAAAGAGATTGTTTGGTTTTAAAAATTTCAAAATGCTCGTTGGAAACTTGGTGTGTAACAGCCACTTTGCGACTCTCGACGTATATTTGCCGAGTCGCACGAGATCTCAAAAGTCTTGCGGACTTGTATAGTTGGAAAAAAAAAAAAAAAAAAAACATTACAGTGTACTGTGCCTCGAGAAAAAAAGGGTGCCGATGGCAGTATAAATCTCCGAGCCTCGGCTGCTGCTGCTTGGTCGGCGGCCCCTTTGCTGTTTGGTCTGAAAATACCTTATTGTTTCGAGCACGATGAAAAATTCAGCGCCCGGGTATAGGTAATTACATCGTCATCGATTGAAGCCTCTGGCACTCGGTTATTATATATACGACGTGCTTATGTATACATATACAACCACGGCAACTTAACAGCCTAGCGACCCTCTTTGTTTTAAAAATTATACAATAATGAAATTATCGTATTTATACATGTATAATCGTGTACGCGTGCCCGTCTGTGTA